CCCAAGGCCTGAGGGTCGGGTCAGGACCCGGGAGTGGGGGTGCAGAGAGGCTGGCAGGGCAGGAAGCCAGGCCAGAGAAGGGGAGCCCAGCTGTCTTACCCGGCTGGCCCAGCATGTTGGCAAAGCGGACATCAGTACTGACCGCTGGGTACAGTTCCATCCAGGTGGACATAGAGTGCAGCTGCCCTGTCTCATGCAGCTCATCCAGGAAGGTCTGTGCAGGGAAAGGCCGGTTATAGGGAGAGTGAGACAGGGAGGAAGGTGGAGCCAAAGGAGGAAGACAGGAGATGGCAGGAGAGGCAGGGACAATCCAGATTGAAGAAATGCAGGCCAGGGAGGCAGAGATGAAGAAACACAGATGGGGAGGCAGAGAGCAATGGGAAAGGGAAGAATGTAAATACAGAGAGGGACAGACTAAAACATGGGAGTGAGCCAGGCTGGGAGGCAAAGACACAAAACTGGCCTGCAGCACCATCTTCCTGACTTGGCTTCAACTTCGCTTTGTGTTACAGCCACTACCACCACATTTGCCACCTCCAACCTGGAGGATAAGCTATGCCTGTCTGGCTTCCCCTGGCTGCCAAGCTGCCTTTAGGGTACTCTCTGCTGACAGTTTCTAGGTGGTGCATACATCTCATCTCCCTAAAGGAGCAAAGCCAAGTTGAGGGGACACAGCATAGGAAACCTATAGGCATAAAGCGGTCTTGTGGAGCTAGAACAGAGCTGGGCACAGACAAAACAGTGGGCCTGATATGGCAGAGTTGAGCTCTGTTCCAGGGGGTGGCAAAGATACCTGGAAGGCCTCCCGGTTCTTGCGTTGCTGGCGCCGCTCCCTAAGCCGGGCCCGCTCCCGCTCCTCCTCCTCCTCCCTCTCCAAAGCTCGGATGTGCTCCTCAAAGCAGATCAGCGCATCTTCCTTGTCCATGTCTAACCATAGAAAGGAGGCTCAGCAGGTGTTACACCAGTGGGATACCTTCTCGGTTCCCCACAGCCCCACTGCTTTGAGGATGCCGCCCCCGTAGGTGCTGGGGACAGCCAGGATGGTGGGGCAATGTGATAACCGGGTTCTGTGGGAGGGAGTACTGGAACAGTTGTTCTTGAGGAGGAATCATTAATTGCATAAGAAAAAAATCAGCAAGAATTCAGCTCTTGTAAATTTAGTTACCAAAGTCATCATGTTTATGAAATCAGTTCTCTTAGGATCTAAGGCTTCACAGTTTATGGAACTGGGAATCAATCAGGCTGTGATCCAACTTCAGAAAGTGTATTTCTGATATTGCCAGTGATTACAGGCCAACAGCAGCTTATCGTAACACGTGTGACTAGTTAATGCCCACAGTGCCATGACAATTTAAGACAATTCACATCAGCTATAACAGTCCTCATCTCCAGGTCTTGTGATTTCTATCCCAAGTTCTTCCTCCAAGGACACACATCTCTAGATCAACAGTGGACCCCGGAGGGAGAGGGTAACCTGAGCATTCTGGCATCTCCAGAGTCCAGGGACTGAGTGCTGGGGACTCCTAGATGTCCGGGAGGACAGGAGGTACAGGTGAGATGTGTGAAATAGGCTCTGGGGACCCAGGTCAATGACGGAAGGGGAAGGGACAGGTGGGAGTGGAGGCCCGGGCTCACTCTGAAGCTGATGGTCCTGAGCAAAGCTGGGGTTATCCATGAGGTACTGCTGGGCTTGGGACCAGGTGGTTTGGAAGTTGACGCTACTCATCCCATCCAGGATGCTCTTCAGGGCCTGGATATTGCGGCGCCGGAGCTGCTTGGCCTGTTCCTGGAGAGGCAGGGCAGGCCGAAGTACTTAAGTGGTCCTGGGCAGAGGAGGATTTGGGGGAAAAGAAGGTAGCTAGGGAACCCTAGGAGGGCCAGATGCAAGGTTTTCATGTCCCCACAAAGGGGAAGGAGCACAGGTTACAGATCAACCCCTCAGAGAGTCCTTCCTGTCCTCCCATGCCCCGGGTTGTAGGCCCAGGGCAGAAATGAAGGGATGTGCAAGTGCTAGGTCAGCTTCAGAGTAAGGAGCTAGGACCCTGGGGCATCGGAGAAATTAATGACCCTGGTCCATAAGGAGCAAAGACATGAAGACTCTAAGATGAGACTGAAGCTGATGGAAACAGCCCAGTGACTATTACCTTCTCCTTCTTGGCCAGGAAGAAGAGGACATCATCATAAACCTCTTTTCGATCCCTCTCGGGGACCACAGCCCAGACCTCCAGTTCCCCAAAGGTCTGTTCCGCCCGCCTGTGGAGCACATGAGCTGTGGGTAGGCAGGCAGAGACCAGAGGCCCTGGGCACATGTGGTCTCAGGGTCCCCCAGCCCTGCCCCAGCCCAGGCCCCTGACCGGTAGCGGGTGGTGGAGGTCATGCGCTCATGCTGCTCCAGGAAGTGCTGCAAGGTCTGCTTGGCTTCCTTGGCCCTCAGTCGCGCCTCTTCCTTCTCCTCCTTCTCCCGCTGCGCCTTGTAGGCATTAAATGCCTGCTTTTTCTCACTCAATTTGGGCAAGGCACTGGGTGGGAATAGAGGAGTCAGCCTGAGCCACCCTGTGGTTCATGCATGGCACTGGGAACAGGTCTCCACAGACCTGTGTGAGGGGTCTATGCATGGGCACAGCAGGCTGCAGGGGCTCCAGGGTACAGGGAGGCAAGAAAAATGTCTGGGATGTGGGGAAGGGTGAGAGGTAGTGAGGGGAAGAGACGGGTTCCAGGACGCTGATAATGCCCGGCCCTGATGCTTTGGGTGCTCAAATTGCAGTCAGGGATCTGCCCTAACCTCCCCGCTTCCCCCAATTAATTCAAATCACTTCAATTCGACAAACATTTATTGAATGTCTCATGTCAGACACCTTTCCCTCCTGGAGGTCCTCGATAGCTTCTCTTCCACTTGAACCTTCACTCATCTACCACTCTCCTGACCCTGGCCCCTTGGAGCCCAAGTATTGAGCTGGGGTTTCTCAGGGAGTCCCTGACCCAGCTGCTCTCATGAACAGGATCTGAAGGCCTGGCTCCCTCTGCCCAGGCCTACCTGTAACGGGGGTCGGTGACCACCATCTTCATGGCCTGTTCCCATGAGGCATTGGAGGGGACAGCCTGGAATGGAGCAGGTGGGTGTCACAGAGCCTGGCCCCCTCCAGCCCCCTCCAGGCCTACCCTGGGAGCCCCATCTCCCGTACCTTGTCCCTTAGCAGCTCCTTAAAGGCCTGCTTTGCCTTCTCACGGTTACTCCAACTGAGGCCAGACCTCTCTGGTTCTAGCTTTGATTCCTCTTCCTCCTGTTGTGGTGGCTGATGCTGTGCAGCAGAACTGGGGAAGCAAAGGAGACTCAGCCACCACATCCCCCAGCCCCCGTAGGTTTCAGTGCCCTGGGTGATCAACAGCAAGCCGCCCCCTTCTTGCTCCCTAGGGCAGCCCTTTTCTGCCTTTTAGAGGTCATGCCCAGATCCCCAGATCCTTCCCAAGAGGCCTAGTAGAGGTAAAAGGTTGAACCAGGTTGGCAACCCGAGGCCAGCATCCAGAATGCTGTGGGGACAGCCTCACCTGCTGGGGCCCTCCTCTGGCTGCTGCAGGAACCCCTGCTCCAGGGGCTGGACAGCATCTGACACATCGCAATCTTCATTCCCACCTGGCTCAGGTTCTAGGAGGCTCATAGGCAGTGGGGTGGGGCCAGGAGGCGCAGGTGGGGGCTCAGGCTGTGGCTGAGGAGGCTGTGTCTGTAGTGTCTGAGGCTGCTGCTGCTGTTTCCTGCAGGCGAGCCGGAAGGGCAGAATCCAGAATGGAGCAGGGAGAGGTGGTCAAGGGCTGGCAGGACTCTATTCTGAGAAGGACTGGGGACAGAGTGAACCACTCCACAAGGAGACTGAGCATTTGCTCTTCCTTCCACAGAGCAGGGATCATGGGGAGAGAGTCCAGTCCCACCCCTCAGGTGGCCCCAAGTATGGATGGATAGGTGGGCAAGATGAGCAAGTTACTTACCCTACAGCCTCTTGTTTGACTAGAGCTGCAATGGGAAAAATACATGGTCACAGGGTAGCAAGGGCCACCCTCCACAGGCCCCTATCCAGGCCCACCATCCTCACCCTCGAGGTCATCCAGGTCCTTCGGCCGGGTCCAGCGGGACTCCTTACTCTGGTTGTTATAGTAGTAAGGTTTGCCTGTGTCCGACTTGTACTCTTTCCAGGGACTCTGGGACAGCAGCAGCTATAAGAAGATGGGTCAGACGACATCAGTGGGCTGATGGAACTAAGGGGATGCAGTGAGTAGAGGGACCCAGGAGTTTTTAGCTACCACCTGGCCTGGCTCAACATGGGGCAAGATGGACTTCCTGAGATCCTAGGGAGGTTGGGGTTGTCAGGGATCTTGGGATCAGAGGAACTATAATGTGTATGGTTTATTGACTCAGGGGAGATCAAGCACTTGGAAGGGTCAGGGCAGCTGAAAGGAAGGGCCAGAAAGCCCAGCTCAGGACCTCCGCCTTGGACTTGAGCACGCTGGGCTTCTCCCACACGGACTGCTTGTCGTCAGCATTGTAGTAGTAGATGCGCCCATCAGGGGCTACATGCTCACTCCATAGGGCCCTCTGGGGGAGGGGGGGGGCACAGAATGGTGGTCAAGGCCCCTTTCCCAAAGCTTCTTCTCACCCCAAAGACTAAACCATTAGCCCCCCACTTTCAGCCTTTCTACCCAGAGATCCCTGAGTTGGAAGAACTCACCAGAGGGCCTGTCCCAGCCACAGCAGCTAGAAAAGAAGCCAAAGGAAAGATACTAAATCCTTGCTTCAACCTGCATCTTATCCCCATCTATTCCTCCCTTACTCCATCCCCAATATATATCCCCTGGTCCCATCAACATCCCAGGCTCCCTGGCATCCCAACAGGCATGATCCAGGGTGGACTCTAGTCCCCTCTCCCCTGTACCCCCCGACCTCCGAGCCTGGGGGGAGCAGGCCCCCAGAAGACTCACAGCTGGCGGTGTCCACACCTGGAGCCGTCTGCCGAAGAAAGAGGAGGGGGAAGGGTTGGGGCCAAGCCCAGTGGCCCCCAGGACCCAGGCCATGGGGGATCGAGAAGCAGGCCAGGCCAAGATCCATGTGTCCTGCTACCTAACATGCTTGCCCCACCCTCCCGGGTGGTGGCTCTAGGATCCCCAGGGGGAATCACACAGCGACTCCTTTCTTCGTTTTCCTCAAGGGAGAGTATTTTCTTGAGACCCATCCCTTCCACAGTGGATACCAAATTCTACATCCTACCCAGACGCTACTACACTGAGCAACAGCACAAGAAGGTACAGCGAGATCCTCAAGTGCTGTTGTTTTCTCCAGAGACTAAAAAGACACGAAGAGGGACTGTATTTAAGTGTCCACAGTGCTAGCTCTGTGAGGTCAAGCAGTGTCTGGCATGAGTGTGTTCCTTAAGGGAGATGGACACAATGGCGAATAACAACAGAGAATGTATATGCCTTTGGGGAAGAGTGAGAAACAGAAGAGCTAAGTACATGGCTGGAGAGGACTCAAGTGTGGGGAATGCTGACAGGGACCAGGATGGACCCGATGAGAAGAGAGAAAGAATGGAGGCCATATCCCTGAACTCCCAATCAGACCCCCACAGTGCTGTAATGCAGAGCTGCTTCCTGCTGGCCCCAGTGCTTACCGCTGCGGTGACAGGCACTGCAGGCATCAGCATTCCTGGCATCATGGGAGGAACCATTCCTGGTATCTATGGATATAAAGACAAAAACCAGCTACTGAGGTGGGGGCAGGCACAGGCTTGGCAGGGACCTAAGAGATTCTGTTGTGTTCATGATCTTCACATGGGCACCTCCTCAGGCAATCCCCTGAGGGATTATGGGCTTCTAGCCTAGCCTGAGAGTTTTTTCCAGTCATTCAGCAGACAAATCCACATTGGCCTGTCCCAATGCTCCCTACCTTCCCTCCCCAGTTCCTGAAGTCCAGATCCCCAACTCTCATCTCCATCCCCAGATAAACTGACAGGTGTTCTGAGGTCCTGGTGCAGAGGAGAGGATTACCTGTGTGAGTGGTGGTGGTGACCCCATTGGTGGTAGCATTGGGGGCATGATGCCAGGTGGCATGGGGGGGATGGCTGGTGGTCTCTGACTCATGGGCGGTAGCCCCATCGGAGGGAAGGGCGGAGGGATTCCTGGAGGGGGCATCTGGAAATGAGGAAAAGAAGAGATGCTGAGCAGAGAAGACACTGCCTTGGTTCTGGCAGAAAACATCCACTTATCTCTCACCTGAACCTTCCACCCTGGCTCTGAGGCAATTCCAAAGTTTAGCTTGCTAAGCACCAAGTATGAAACTGCCACCCTCCTCACCACTGAGAAAGACTGGTAACTGGGGGGTCCTCTGGGTCTAACAGGCAAGCACACAGCTTCTTGAGAGGTAAGGAAGGGAGAAGGAAAAGAAAAGTATAACCAACACCAGACTGCAGCTGGAAGGCTCCATTTCTTTAGCAACTCTCCTCAAAGAGCCTTCTCAGATGCAGGGCCAAAAGGCATGTGTCCAGGTACCCAAATCCCTAGTTCCCTGCCTCCCACCCCTTTTTCTCCAATTCAATGACCATCAGTTGCTACTCCAGCCTGACTTATGTGGCATATTTTTAAAAGACAGATAAGGAGAAGTGAAAGAGACAGACAGCCCACCCTGCCCTCACACTACCGGGGTCTTTTCACTTCCACCTCTACGCTAGCCCCAGTATGTCCCCAGGACAAAAAGACAAAGGAGGAACTGTCAACTTTATGAACGGAGAGCTGAACAGCAGCATCTCCCACCCCAATAACCCAACAAAACCATCCCTCTTCCAAGGTTAGCAGAAAAGAGTTTTTTTACATGAAAACCGTGCAGCAGTGCTAGGGACAGGGGAATTAAAGGGTGCAGGCTGGAAAAGCCAAGCCCAGGGAAAGACATAAAACTTACGAAGGGTGGTGGCATCATGGGGGGCCCCGGTGGGAAGGGGGCAGGCGCTGCTGGGGGCCGGGGACCAGAATCGGGAACCGACTGTTGAGGGAGAGAAAAGTCATAGGACCCAGGATAGGCAAAGAGATGGGCGTTTGCAAAAGGGAAACAGAGGGGTGAGGATAAAAAAGGAGCATAAACTTTAGAGAAAGAGTCTCCAAGACCAACTTCCTGCCCACTCCCAGCTCTGAGCCCTGGATAGGTCTGCTCTCTCTTCCACCAGCCCAGAGCCAGCTGGCCGAGTCCCTTCAATGTCATCTTTAATTTAGAAGTTTCCATTTTGCTAAAGCCACAGAAAGGTTGGAGGCTGTACTACAGGCAGACTGGCTCTGCCCAAGGCATTTCATCCACTCTCCTGCTTGCAGGCAAAGCTGTGCCTCCCTCAGACCAGTTAAACTGTGGCCTCTCATTCATAAAATATCCAGGAAGGAAGTGGCCTCTTTTCCTGTTTCCCCACCTGAATTCAGCCAGGTACAGAGCCCTCTAAACACAAATAATAAATAGTCCTTCATAAGTACTAGTCTCCCTAACTCTCCTCTACTACCAGACCCCTCCCCTATCTGGCCTCATCTTTAGTCACTCATTCTTTGATATCTTCCACTCCCAATCACCTCCTTCATCTCTTTAGCTGTACTCCTCCTCCCCTGACTTATGTGGCATATTTTTAAAATACAGATAAGAAGTATGAAAGAGATAGACAGCCCACCCTGCCCTCACACTACCGGGGTCTTTTCACTTCCACCTCTACGCTAGCCCCAGTATGATCCCCTACAGATCCTGAACTCCTCGTCTCTGGGTGAGGCTCTGAATAGCCTAGGCTTCCCCATCCTACACCTAATGGTTGGCCATGTCCCATCCTTTAGTTCTCAGCTTAAATATCACTTACTCTAAGAAGTCTTCCTGACTCTATTTAAAGCAGATCCTCCCAATTTATTCTCTGTCTGGTCTCCTTTTTTGTTTCCCTTTAATAGAGGGTAATAACATTCCACAAGGGCAGGGATCATGTCTGACTTGTTGAAAGTTGGATTCCTGGAACCTGCAAGAATATCTGGCACATAATGGGCACTCAATAAATACTGGATAGATGAATGACAAGTGAGTGAACAAATACTCTCTATATAGAACCTTCCAATTCTAAATATTCATCCTACAGATAAAGGCCCAGATGGCCAAAATGATGTCTACACAAGATTTCCATTTCAGCATTATTTGTAAAAACGAAAGATTAGAATCAGCCTAAATATCTACCAATACGGAACTACAAAATTACAAACATAAAATGGAATACTATGCAGGCATAAAAAATGAAGAAGCTCATTGTCTTGATATGAAACAACCTCTAAGATATATTAACAAATGGGGGGAGAAGCAAAGTGTTGCAAAGTTTTATCACTTGTATAAAAATCGGAAACAAAAGATGACAAATTGGTGGGAGGGGGACTGAGGTGGAAAGGAGATTTATCACTATATGCCCTTTTGTAACTTTTAAATATGCAATCATATGACTATGTCACCCATTCAAAAAAACTTTGAGTAAACTGAGGTGTGGAAATGCAGCCAAAAGGCCCTGCCATTCCTCCTCTTTGCTTGAAAGGAGGTGGGGGGGAGGGGGGGGAGGGAAGAGACCCAGGGAAAGGTGATCCAACGGCCACCTTGCTGCTGCCCAATTAATTATTCCTTTGTTGAGAAATCTCAGCTTTTTTTTTTTTTTTAAAGGAAGGCACCAGAGTCCTGCATAGTGCTCACTGTCCCTTTGGCCTCTGGACTATCTTTTTCTTTTCATTTACTTATTTTTAATGTAGCTTTCTCGTTTTTAAAAAAGATTTAATAGCGTGGTTTTTTAAAATTGATTTCAGAGAGGAAGGGGAGAGATAGAAACAACGATGAGAGAGAATCATTGATCAGCTGCCTCCCGCACACCCCATACTGGGTATCAAGCCCATAACCCGGGCATGTTCTCTAACTGGGAATCAAACCATGATCTGGTTCATAGGTCAATGCTCAACCACTGAGCCACGCAAGCCGGGACTCCTCTTTGCCTCCAAGGCAGATCAAACCATCTGCCTAAGAAATCTCAGCTTTTAAAAATACTTTACCAGTATCTGTGCCTCCTCTCTTCCTGCCCTTCTTGTCCTAAGGAGAGAAGGGGTAAGCCAAACTACTCCAACTTGAATCACCTTTTCTCAGTGTTCAACTCCTCTAGTCCTGTATCATACCTGCTCTTGCCCCGATACTTTCCTTAGCATGGGAAGTCAGAAACTAATCATATGGGAAGAAATCCAATTATTTGTGTCACACTTTCCCACCTCAAGCTGCCTTAGGATCCACTCTACCTTCCCAAATGCTGTGTAACTATCTTTGTGGGTCCTACCAGGCTCCAGTGGTTTGTTGCCCATGTCAGAGACTGGTGCCCCCGTTGTCCAAGATTAGAAATGTGAGTGTCTCTCTCCATACCTCCCTCTTCCTTCTCAATACATCGCTGAGTCCTATTAATTTTAGCTCCTAAAGATTTCTGGAATCCATCTACTCCTCTCCATTTCCTCCTCCATGCCTACCAACCCTTTCATTGGGTCTCTCACTCTAATCTGCAGCCATAATGAGCTCATCAAAATGCACCTCAGGCCCTACCAGTTTGGCTCAGTGGATAGAGCATTGGCCTGCAGGACTAAAGGGTCTGGGTTTGATTCCGGTCAAGGGCACATGCCCGGGTTTTGGGCTCGATCCCCAGTGGGGGGCGTGCAGGGGGCAGCCGACCAATGATTCTCTATCATTGTTTCTATCTCTCTCCCTCTCCAAAATTAATAAAAATATATATTTTTAAATGCTCCTCAGACCATGTTACTTCCCTACTTAAAACTCTTCAATGGCTTCCCACTGTTCTTAGTGTAAAGACCAAAACTTCTGCCTCAGACCTGGGAGGCTATAATAGATTTGCTCCCAACTACTTTGTCAGACTCACCCATGCTGAGCTCCTGGGTCTGTGCTCCAGTCACACTCACCTTCTCTCAATTCTCCACCTCAGGCACCTACCTTTGCATGAGGTAATCTCCCCACCAACCCCACACATCTCAACTACATATCTTTCACATCTATCAGCCATCATTTCCTCAAAAAAGTCTTCCTCCAACCCAGCAGACCAGTCAGTACCCTCCTTTGCATGCTTGTACACCATATACCTTTCCCATCAGCAATTATCCACTGGAATTTTACAGTTATTTGTAGAATTCTGATTTACTATTATGTGGCATTAACAAAAAACAAATGCCTGCCAATTAAATCATGCTACTCCGTTGATTTTAAGATGCATCTTGCCTTCAGAAATGTTAGATTGTGAGTCTTGGAATCAATGAAATATCTGCTTGCTGCCTCACTAGGCTGAAAACTCTAAGGGGCAGACTTTATCTGCTTTTGCTCATCCCAATATCCTATCCCCATTGAATTTTCCTCACTACCTGCTATTGACACACAGTAGGTGCTAACAAATATTGCCTTAATGACTGAATGGTCTTGACAAGTCCCACAAAACAAAGTCATTGGTAAGGCCTAGTAGTTATTCAGGGAACACAGGATGTCAGAGATGGAGAGGGGACTCTGGCAACCACCCAAGGTAGCCCCCTTTTTTCAGATGAGAAAACTAGGGGAATAATAATTCCTACAGCTGGTTAGGGACAGAGCCAGGACTAGATCGAATCTGCCTTCCAGCCCTACTCCCTTAAAAGCACAGTCCTTGCCACAGGAAGCAGGTCTGGTTTTTCACTCCAGCATTTCCCCTGAAACCCATGTAGTTAAATCAGCAAGGATCCAACATTTTCTTGCTTGATAATCAGTGGTGGGTCTCTATTGCCCACCCTACAGAATCTCTAATGTAACATTCAAAATCTTTCAACAAGGCCCATGCCATAACTCTTCTTGGTTCCTCCTGACTTCCCTCAATGGCTTCCCTCCTCTCCTTTACACACAAATTACCCCATGTGTTTCTTTTATTCCACTTTGTCCCTCACCTTGTTCAAGATGATCCAATAGTCACCTCCTTCGGGTTACCTTTATGACTACTCTTCACACATACACACACTCCTATCTACTGTGTCCCCTCAGGATAAATGCTGCACTACTTTGCACCAAGCAACATGCTACTCTGTAGATATTGGGTGTTTCTTCACGCCACACTTTCCCACCTCAAGCTGCCTTAGGATCCTGGGACTGCCTGTCGCCCTACTTGGGTGGGGTTTCCCCTACATTCAGAGATTGAGTTTTCTCTTTTTAAGCCTCCTCTGAGTGTCTAGGCAGGGCCCTGCATACAAAGTGCTGTGATAAAACGCAGACTCATCCTTAACCTTATTAGATTTTTGCATACTGGAATATTCTAAAAATAGGCATGTGTGTGTGTGTGTGTGTGTGTGTGTGTGTGTGTGTACACCCGCACCCACACAATGTGCCCAGGTACCTTTATATAAATTTTCTGGGTAAAGGTTGACTGTGATGAGAGGCAGCCTGGCAGAGATCTGTGTGGCTGTGGAAAGGGAACTGGAGTCAAATTATTGGCTTGGAAAAACCTAAATAATGAAAAACTAAGTGTATATGACCATCTTTAACTTGGAATGGAGATCCCTGGCAAGGATCCAGACACTGGCCTGTTTCTGGATAGAGCAATAGCATGAACATAAATTCCTATGGAACTTCCAAAGCCCTCCCTTTGCTAAGCTCCCCTGTGCGATGTCTATACTCTTTCCTAAACACCCCTTCTCCTATCTCTTTTGCTGCAGTGCCTGCACAACTTTGGATCTTATTACACTTCTGGGTGAGAATCTGAAGTAACTCATGTGAGAAAGAGGTACAGAAAAAGGGGCTGAAAGAGAAGCAGATCCTATGTCTTCCTTGGAACAAAAACACATTTGTGGGCCGGGGAGAGATGCAAGGCAACTGATCATCTGATCATAATGTGTTCACTTGGACCAGTGGAACCCCCCCCCCCATGCAATCAATTCTTCTCATTCTCCACATCTAAGGGACATCTCAGAATTGAAGATTCAAGAACAAAAGGGAAAAAGGACAAGAGCAGAGAAAGAGAAAGAATGAAAAGAGGAAATGATTGCCCTGACTGGTTTTCTCAGTGGTTAGAGCGTCGGAGGGTTCGAGGGTTCCATTCCCCATTTGGGCCAAGTTGCCCGCTCAGTCCCCAGCAGGGGGCATGAGAAAGATGGAAACATCATGTACCTGGGATGCAGGCTCCCTGCGGACCTTGGTCAGGGTATAGGCGCTGGTTGGGGTGCATTCGGGAGATAACCAATTGATGTGATCAATGTTTCTTTCTCTCTCCCTTCTATTCCCTCTAAAAAACCACTGGAAAAATATTCTCAGGGGAGGATTTAAAAAAAAGGGAATGGTAGCAGCTAATAGCTAATATTTATTGAGTGCTTGTTATGAGCCAAATACCATGACAAACATTTAATCCTCACAACCATCTTAGAGGTTCTTATCCCCATTTTATAAAGAAACTGAGGTTCAAAGAGATTAAATGGCAGAGGCAGGTGACCCCAAAGTCTGTGCTTTCAAATACTTCAAAACACTTCCTTCCAGCAAGAATGATGGTGCCACAGGCATTTCTTTCATTCAGATTCACTGGTGTGTTTTTATGTTCACTTCTTTCCCTTTTTTTAATTGAATTTACTGGGGTGACATTGGTTAATAAAATCATAGAGGTTTCAGGTATCGTTCGGTCTTCTTCCCCAGTCCTCGCACAACCCTGAAACCCTCACGCACAGCTAGATGGTCCCGCGGTTGCCCGGTCTGCCTCGCTCCTGGCAGAGCTGTGTGTGGGTAAATGAAGTCTGAAAGGCTCCTCTCTCAGGAAGAGGCCGTCATCACCCGAGAGAAGAGCATCACGGAGGCCGGGACCCGCCGACCTCCAGCACGCGGTCCGGCCACAGCTGCCCTTCCCCAACCGCCCAGCAGCCTGACCTCCCCTCCCTGTCCCCGACCACCCTCGCCCCGCTCTCCCGAACCCGCAGCGCGCCTCCTGCTCGCGAAGATGCTGCTCTACTAGCATCTATCTTCCATGGCTGCCGTCTAGCCTGCCATCTTATTCTCCCCCTGAGGAAAATGCTACTCCTGGCCCCATCTTTCTGGGTGAAGTGGGAGAGGCCTCCATCCCTCCGACAGGATGCGGGCCGGGCAGTCCGCCCCCCTCACTCGCTCGAGGGCTGCGGCCCCCATCCCCCACCCCCCGGGGGACTCTGGCAGCCCCGGCGAAAGGCCGGCCTCCATCTTCATCCTTTTGTCTCCCCGCGTCTTAGAGCCCATTCTCCCGAAACCTCTCCTCAGGAGCCACTCCAAGGTGCGGCTGAAAGAGATGTGGGCTGTCATTCCGAACCATCTCCCTTTTTTCCATCGACAGGAAATCTGAGGCCCACAGAAAAGTAGTGACTTGCCCAAGGTCACACGAGTTGTTGCAGGGAGTCGAGGGCAGAGCCAGGGCGGGGACCCCGGGCCTCTGCTCCCCTGTTCCGTGGGCACCCCGCCCGGGTGGGGCCGGGCCTCGCTGCTCCGAGTCCGGGGAGGGGCATGTCGCACGCCAGTACCCCAGGAGAAACGGGGGCTCCCGGCTCCCCTTGTCCCGCAGTTCCCACACCTCCTGCTCCCCATCTTCTTTCCCGACCGTTCTCCGCAAACCCACCCTCCACTCCGTCCTTGTCCCCTCACCCAGTCCCGCAATGCCCATTCCTCTCACAGCCCCCTCCCGCCATCCTCCATCATGGCCTTTCCCACCCCTTCTCCCCAAGTCCCCGACCCCCTTCTCCCTCCCAGGCTCCTCGCCCTCATCCCTCA